GGTTGTTGGATCAGTACAGTCTCAGGCAAAAGCAAAAAAAAAAAAAAAAGTTTTACGGCTAATTCATTGATCCTGCAACCCTGCCATTGCGGGAGAGTGGGGGGTAAATTTGTTGCCATGGTGACAGGGGATGGAGTTGGGTCACTAATGATGTTGATAGTAATCATGCCAACTATGTCGGTGTGTAGCAGTGTCTCTTGTGTCGTGGTTCACATACACTCGCCATCAGTGAATATGTATTATCAGTGTGTGTGTGTGTGTGTGTGTGTGAGGACGTCCACGTACAAGTGTGTAAGTGCACGTGCGTTAGCGTGCACGAGAGAGACGCGTTGGTCTGCGTGTTTGTGTGAACGAGTGCAGTCAAGTGAACTTTGTGGCGCTTAAAAGTTATTTTCTTGAGCGTGTTTGTCAGAGTTTTGGTGCAGAGGAGGAAATCATGAATCCGTTGGAGCATTCGATAATTTCCACTTAATAAAAATCCTCTTTCTGCCGAATATATTCTATCAGTGTCACAGTCCAAATATCTCAAGCTATGGAATGAAAAGAAATGAGTTTTTCTATGTTTCTTTTTGAATGAAAAGAGCCAAATATGAAACTTGATGTTAAAGTGATATTATTGACCTGTAGAATATCTTGCCTGTTCTTCTATCTGATCCCATGTAGGCGGCGCCCCCTGCTGACCTGAGTAGGCTCTGCAGCAGTGGGATCGCTGAGGCTCTCCTGAGTTTTCAAAGTAATCACGATTATAATGCATGGAATTGTTGTATAGGACTCATTATATATTGAATACTATGTCATTCTTAAGTTGACTCCAAAGTGTTTTGCAAAGTGAGATTCGCCGGCCAATGACGCAGCTGATAGGATTCCCTCTTGTGTTGTATTAATCGCTGATTATCGTCAGAATTGTGCCCAAACAACTTCCTTTTTAGTGATGTTACCTCAAGCCCATGATCTTGTTAATTGCATAAATACATGCACGAGTGTGTACATTTTATTTAAAGGCTCCAGGGGGAAAAAAAACGTCTCCTGATGTGAACTTTAAAATCTCAAATCTGACACCAGAATCCAGGAGCTTGAGCTGCAGGTTGCTTTATTTTCTGTTATGAAAGCTCATAGACACAACGGGAGACAGTGTTTAAAGTAATTCCTTCTAATTAGAGGTTTAGAGTTAGGTCATAAAAGTAAAGAGTTGTTCTGTAGGTAAATGGAGATAAAGCCCTGTCTGTTCTATACTTTGCTAGTTTAATCACTTGAAAGTACTTTTTAGGACAAAGACATGTGAGCATGGGGGGTTTTTGCATTTTATTTCACCTGACTATCTGTGACTGGGTAGTTCAGCGAGTAATCAACTTGAACTGAGGGATATTTCACTTTAAGATTTTGGTTGGGGAAATAGTGCAACACTGGGCGCTGGAATTTTACAGGTCGTGGTTTTAGATTTCCAAATACTTTCAGGTACTCGTGTGTGGTGGTGGGATACTGTTAAATGTATATTGTGCAGTCAAAGGTCTACACTTGTGGCTCTTTACGTTTTCTCCGCGTGATAATGCACTGTTCTTCACAAGCGGATTCTCAGATCTCATGTGTCTGTGTTGGGTCAGTTGTAAAGTCAGGGCCCCTGCACACACATCTTTAATCATTTAATGTATTTAAACTCTTAAATTACCTCAATGTAGTGGTTTGCATCATTAGTGGCTGATTCCTGTCTGGGATTTATATTAAAATTTAAAGCTAAATTAGTGTGATACAGTTTATTTTCCACCCTGAAGAAAAGGAAATCCATTTAAACTCTTTAAATTATATACAAGCATGCTGAAATATGAAAAACCACAAGTGTGGTCCTTTAACTCCTGTTGGGCTGCAAGTAACCAGTTAAATGGTTGGGTGTGACTGGGGTACTGATGGAGGTATTATTGGGGTACTGTCGGGTTGTTTGGGCACCGTCAGGTCAGGTTGTATTATTGTTCTCAGTGCTTCAGTCTTTTCAGTCTGTGTGGTAGATAAAAATAATACAAGCATATGTGTTTTGTGCTCTGGCCCATGTACACTACTGTGGTTATTGGTCGATTGTAAAATACAGTATGTTATTGAAGTAAATGGAACCTGTGTGTGATGATGTCCAAGAATTGGTTTGTCCTGTACTAATGAAAAAAAAAAATAATAGTAATTATTTATTAACTAGAATGCACTCTTTGTTGGAAATACTTTGTTTGACCGTCAGCACCGAAATCAAAGCTTTGTGTGACGTTTTGTTCTACTGAGACAAAAAGGTTATGATATGTAGTAAAGCCAGTGCCATCAACTGTGGGGACTCCAGTATAATACAGTTTGTTGATGTTAAAATTTCTCCCCCCGTATAACACTGATAATAAAAAAAATTTAACTCCATCGACCAACAAGTGAACACTGATTTTGTGTGCTCCCCCTTTAACATGTTTCTTCTGGGTTGTTTCTTCCTGTTCTGAAGGTGTTTGACCTCTTCAGTGTAAAAATGCTGTGTACAGAGATGTGTGTCACTGTCTATTACCTGAATGTCTCTGGACTGCAGTCTGACCGTCACTCTAAATAAAAAAGAGAACATGTTTTGGACTGCCTGTTTCTGTCCCTGAGTTTCATGTGTGACGTCTGGAACGTTTAGGAAACTTTGACTCGGGATAATCGCTGTAAAAATGTTAAGGAATTATCAGTTGTAGATTTATTTCCGGTATTTAAGGAATGAAGTGAAGATCAGAAAAATTGTTGATGAAATGTCTTTTAATGTAAACAAATGTTCCCTTTTTAAAAATGATAGAGTATGTCTGCAGTTCACTTCAGCTGGTTTTGCTTTCTCCATGCATAATAGGAATTTATGATAATACACACTGCTGCACTACAAACAGCTGATTAGGAAAAAAAGGATGGTACATAGATCATTAAGCATAGAACTAGTGAAACTGATTATTTAACTGCAATTTCTCCTAATCAATCTGTTGATTTTGTCCATAAAACATTAGGCAGCAGTGTCCATCAGTCTCAGGACAAAATGTCTCATTATTATATCTTGGAAACTGAGCTTCATGTCATCATCGTATCCTCGTAAAGTAAATATACACTATTTAAAAAATGTGGAAAACAGGCAAGGACACATGTTCATTGTTTAGGATTTTTAGTTTCCATTTGAAAATTTGTGCAATACTACTTCTCTGATTGATCAGTCCATCAGTCAACTAAATAAACCAGATCCACTGGTGAGTGACATAAACAGAATAAATTAAAATTGTACACAAAATAATAAAAAAATTAAACCGTATACCAAAATTTGTTCCAATTAATCTTTCTTCCTGCCACTCACCCTTTCACATCTCTGACAGGGGACAACCTAGTCACTCAAACACTTTCCTCTCAATGAACCAGCCAACAATTGAAAGCAACTAAACAGCTAAAGTTAAATAAATCTGGAGCTAAAATGTTGAACTGAAGATGTGTTTATTTTGTTATTTGAACAAATCTATACAGAGCCATCAACTCTGATGTTACGAAAACATCAGTTGCTTTTGTCGTCTGTGTAAAAAGCACATGGTACAAAATGTAACTCAATACAATTTTGTATTATGAAGCCGAACATTCTTCAAGTAAAGCCTTAGCTTGTCTTTCATTTAATAAAATGATGGTTGTGGTCAGACAAAGCCAGTGGCAGCCGGAGACGTCCTCAAAGGATGTGAGCTGAAGTAAAAAGCTGAGCTGGAGCGACCCAGTGAAACCATTCACGCAAACTGATAAATAACCTCATCATAAAGTTAAAACGCCATAAACATTCTTTAATTCATGAGATATAGTCCCCGAGCTCCTCCGAGACACGCTCACACAGGAAACAGGTGGCTGTTTTACATACTGGCTTCTGCAGGGCTTTGACATGGCAACAGGAGCCACTGAACATATACCCCATGATGGCAAACGGAGCAGAGGAGGGGCTAGCTAATGATGCGGCTAATCGACTGCAAGGAAGGAAATTCCTCACTGTCCCTGATGTGCAGGGTCTTGTGGGAGTTGAAGTCTTTGCGGGCCAGCACCTGTCTGCAAGTGGGGCACACCTGACATTCCAGCTCAGCTGCTACGTTGACCACACTGGTTGGCGTCTGCCAGGCGTTCTTCTTGTTCTTGTTTTTCTTTCCTCCTCCAGACTGTTTCTCCAAGGCCTTGCAGTCTGCGTGGGCAGTCAGCAGCTCCTGCTGCTTGCCAGTGTCCGGCAGGAGCACCAGCAGCTCATTGAAGATGCGGTTAAAGTCGTCTCCGAGCAGGTCCTTACAGCTGCAGTGATACTGAGCTGCTGATACCACACCCTGCGAATAAAGAGAGTTTCAAGCTTTCAAACCAAGGTTTAACTTTTTTTGGAAGGTTTCAGTTCTAAACTCTAGAGTTCATTTGTTGACATAATTATTGACGTTCAATTTAAAAATACACAGTTCCAGGAGATACGTTTGTGATTAATAGATGAGAGTTCAACATCTTAAAGACTTCTCTTACTTGTCTGAACTGTGCAGAGTAGTTTTTAAACTGGTTGAACTTTGACTCGTCGTTGTGGAGGTACATCCTAATGGACTGGATGAGCTCCAGATTTCTCTGGTGGAAGTCTTCTGGCACTAGGTAACCGCTGCTTGACACCTTGGGCGGCCTGGAGGGACAAAATACACAAGTAAAACACATTTTGTAACAGAGCAGGGAACAGGGTCAATGGTTTTATCACCAAAATCTAGATTTGTTAAACACAAACACTTACAGGTTGACTGCAGAAGGAGCAGGCTCTACCACATTGCTGTTGAGGGGGATCCCAGTGAAGCCTGGTGGAGGCTTAGGACCTGAGAGTCCCAGACCAGGTGGAGGTGGGGGCATTGTGGAGGATGAGGCAGGAGCTGAGGCCTTCATCGGGAAGGAGGACTTGAAGCCTGACAGGTAAAACACTGAGTGAGCTCCAACTTTGATCAACTCCTAGTGAATAAGTCAATGGGTGCGCTACGTACGCGGACCAGGTTTTCACTGCATTTTAAATTTGGCTCACAAGACAACTCATACGTATGCAAACCTGAATGGACTCTGACAGGCAGCAAAATATGTGTGAACAGCATTGTTCATTCACAGCATCTTTACAAGTAGCTGATGTTAGATTATCTGTGATTAGAAATTGAATGTAATACCCACTATGCCCTGACCTTTAACTGATCTTTTAAACAAAAGATAACAATAGAATATTGAAGATAAAAGCAGGTTGTGCTGTACCTGGAGGAGGCTTCTTTGTCATGAGAGCAGGAAACTCTTCCTCTTGTTGAAGAGGAGGGTCTGTGCAGGGAGGAGGGGTTACTGCAGTTGTCTCCTTACTAATGGGTGGTGATTTCTCAGCGTGGCCATTTGTCAATCCGCTCATCAGTGCCGCTGTCACAGAGCTAGAAAGCGGTTTGTTACAGTTTTTCTCAGGGACGTTCTCCTTCTGTGCAGCCGTTTCCACAGAGATTGTATTTACAGGTGTCGTCACTGTTGAAGATACAGACGAGGAGGGAGCAGCTGTGTTCTTCTGCTGTTTTTTCTTCTTGCTGGCTTTGGAGGTAGAGACATCGGTGTTGGGGGTCAGGTTTGAAGTGCTGGAGGTCACGGTGGAGGGTTTGCTGTTGCTGTTGCTGTTGCTGCTGCTGCTGTTGCTGTTGCCTCCTTTAACGGTGAGCAGAGAGGAGATATCCAACATGGTGGGCACTGAGCGGAACTCCTGCTGCGTCAATCCTCCGCTCTCATCATCTGAGGAAAGAGGAGGTGCTGCCTTCCCAATCTCCCCTACTTTCTTTTTCCTCCGTGAAGACAATGAAGCTGAGGAGGAGAGGAGCTGAGGGCCAGAGGAAGCAGATGGGAGGGGAGGGGTGTGTCTGGTGGAAGGTGGAAGATGAATGACGGGTTTAGCTGCAGCAGTCTTGCTGGACCAAGCAGACTTGGTGCCTGCTGTGGGTTTGAGGGGGCGCACTTTGGACACAAGAGCAGGAAAATCCTCCTCTTGGAAAGAGGAATTCTTCTTAGGTGGTGCAGAGTAAGCCGGGGTCATGAGGGATGTCACAGCAACAGCTGACAGGCTCGGAAAATCATCTTCCTTCAAAGCTGCAGGGGCTGCTGGAACCGCTACAGGAGCAGGCTTTACACTGGAGGGAGACACACAACAAGAGATATTGAATTTTTCAGCTCACTAAAGTAAGTTGACTTTTTTTTTGTACTGTGTATTAAACATTACATGGCTGCTGCTGCTGCAGCTGTGGCTCCCAAAACTGGAAAGTCATCCTCTTCTCCTGGATTACTGCTCTTCATTGTTCTGACTGTCAAAGTGGAAACATTAAAAGTGTCAGAATCACTAACTTTGACGACATGAACACACAAAAACTAGGACAAGCACTTAAACATTAGCTAAGTCAGTAAAGTGGTCCCAGATCTTTAGATCTGACTGTGTATGTTTAACTTTTGTCACCTGGAGGTTTGATTGTTGGTTTGATGGGTCCGTTCCTGTGTCTGGGCTCTTCTAGTTCTGTTCTCTCCATTCTCTCCATTCTCTCCATTCTCTCTGTCCTCTCCGTCCTCTCCATCCTCTCTGTCCTCTCCGACCTCTCCGTCCTCTCTTCTCTGCAGTGTTTGGGAGTGCTCCTCTCCTGCACCTGCCCTCTCTCCTCCTGTCGACGCATCGCCATGGAGGCCCTCATAGCAGCTTCCATCTGCCTGTCCTCTTCCTCTCTGCACGGACAAACACACATTTACAGTCATTTGCAGCAACGAGCATGACACATATGCACAAGGACTGAAAATGGGCAAGAAACCACTTCCAACAGCAAGTAAAATGTGGAAGATTACAGTCATACAATACAGTGAAGCCTTCAGTGAATGACAAGTGCTGCACAGAGGCAAATACAAAACACACACAGATAGAATGTGTGCAAGTGTATGAAAGAGACGATGTTGTGTGAACATTAAATATTTTCCATGATCTTTTTTAGACTATGGCACCTGATGCTTGTGTATTAGACACAGAACTGATCATTTAGACTCACCGGGAATATCTCCAGCTCTTCTGTCCCCCTCCCCCATGAGGCCTTCCTCTCCCTCCTCGATTGTGACGCATCTCCTCATAGTCCTCTCCTGTCATCACACCTGAGGATATATGCACCCTCCTTTTATTTCACATTCATTGCCTCCATAATACAGTTGTATTAACAATAATCCCATTGAAATGTGAGGTACTGTGATTTCCAAACAAAAAACACCTCAATCCTCACCAACCTTCATTTCTCCTCTGCTGCCTCGGGGCGTAGTTGAACTGCAGGTCGATGTGGCGGTTCTGTCGAGCCTCTGCCCGGTTCTTGCTGTGTGCTGCAGCCTTGTGGGCCTTGTAGTCGATCTCAGTGCGGAATGCATGGGTGAACTGTTCTGAGGCACAGCGACCTTCCTCACACAGATAGTGACTTACTCTGAAGTGCTCGCTCAAGTACTGGTAATCACTGTCGGCGGTGAAAAGTTAAATTATAAATAAACAGGCTTTCACCATTCTGCCTGTCAGTTGATGATTCATGACCAAACGGGTTTGTAAAACAGCAATACACACCTGTAGTATTCCTGAGAACCGTCTGCATCGCAGAAGTGGCAGAAGTAGTGGTCCCTGCGCAAGTGTTTCAGCAGCTCGTCATTATCGAGGTATCGGTCATCGCAGAACTTGCAGAGCGGGTGTCCTCGGTGACTGGTGTCGTCTGGGTCTCCATGTGCTCTATGACGTGCCAGTTCCTTACGGTTGTACCACTTCCGTTCATGGGAGAAGATCTGGTGGGAGAATTTTAGGAATAAGGGTCTGACAGCTCTTTTTTTTTTTTTAAATGAGAAAACACATCTAGGTTCACCTGGCCTAGGAACTGCAATATTCACAATACTCTAAAAATATATACTTTTAAATATCTGATGAGTGATATATGGATGTAAAATGGCCCTTAACAGTTCTAATGAGTTCGAATAACTAGTATCTATACACATCTTGGCACTGTAAAGACTAACCTTCAGGTGCTTTGTGCAGAGCTTGCAGCAGAAGAGTTCATGCTGCTTCCTCATGTGCTGCTCTAGCTCCTCAAACCTGGCAAAGACCTTGGGCTCTGGACAGCGGACACACTCTGACAACAGCAGATGCCTGAGAAAACACACGACTTGTGATAAGCAGCTAATCCAAACCTATTCCAAAGTTTCTGGTAAAATGGTGAAGGAACTCAAAAAAGCCAGTTATATACAAGAGCAAGAAAAGTCAAACAACAATAGTGTCAATTATAATTTCAGAGTATGTATAGACACAGGCTGTCTGTGAGGCAAACAAAAACATGAATACTTGCTGAATGCAAGATTTGGTCAAAATACAAGTAGTAGCTGTTGTAATATGGAAACAGGAGGAGAGGTAATAGAAAATAGAGCACATCATGAAATAGTATCATGAGGAGACAACGCTGGAGGCATTTCCCGATTCACGCTGCTACTTTTAGTCGCTCTGTTTCTGTGCGTCATTGAATATCTATCCACCAAGATTTATCAATCAGACTCCTGCATGCTCCAGATGAAAAAAAAAGGTGCTTTTGAGAGCCAATGAAGTCTGACATATGTCTTCTCACATACAGCCCCTCTGAAGAATTAAGTCTGAAAACAATGGGGCAGAACAGCACCTGAACTGAGCATAGATCCTCTCGTCCCCAAAGTAGATGTCGTGCGTCTTCTCACACGGAAACTGGTGGTAGGGCAGAGACGAGAAGGCCTGCAGTTTTTTCACAAACACCACCTGAGAGCAACATGACAGTCAGGAAGAACACGAGAAAGGCTGAACATCAAACTGTGGAAGCAGTGGTTAAAATAGAGGCCGCGGTGCACGGTTGAAACAATAACTTATATCCTGAGACAGGTTTCGTAACGGGAAAGTTGAGACCCTCCTCGTGTACCACTGCTATCTCACACCAGCATTATGTAACGTGTAGAGAACCCAGTGGAATTGTGGGAATGCTTTCACTGTGTAAAGCCCAGAGGGGAAAGAGAGACACTCACACACACACACACTCTCACTCTTTCTCTATACACAGCTCTCAGTTTCGATTCTGTGAAGTTGATCACAGGAGGGAGTGGCACAGTTTGGCCACGTTATGTGACACTGTCCACCTGAACTGGGCACGAGCTAAAGTCCACTTATCCGACTCTGAATGACACATGTCCGAGTCCCGGAAGTAAAGGCCAGCTGACACAGTCACAGGTTTCTTACGTGCAGAGGCCGAGAGGCGGCATGCACCGTGGCTAACGTGGGAGTTGACAGCTGACATCGACACAGGAGTTAATTCATTGACACATTAAAGACAAGCGATCAAAGTAACACACGGTCAACTTCTCACGTGGGTTTACTTCATTGAAAACTCCCCTGGACTTTACGCGGAGCTCGCTAGCTAGCCCACATTGATGGAAATACCAGTGCTAGCTAGCTAAGCTAAGCTAAGCTAACCAGCGAGAAATCAGTTAGTAGCAGATGCCGCTGTTTTCAAAAACACATAAATCATCAGTGGTTTCCATTTGTATTCAAACCAACTGAGACTTCACCCTTCAAATTCTGCTGTTTTCCCCTCTTTAATCAAAACCAGGGCAGTCTGCGGCCTACGTAGCACGAGCCGGGGCTCCGTCCCCGGGCCACAGTGGCGGAGCGACACCCACCTTGTCGAGCTCCTCCCGGCAGACGGCGCAGTACTTCTGCTCGCACAGCGCCCGCATCTTGGTGGAGCAGCGGTAACACACCGGGTGGTCGCACTTCCCCAGGGCGAAGATGTCGACCTCTTGGCAGCACAGCACGCAGTGCTTCTCCGTCTCCTTCGCGGGTGTGGGAGCCATGTCGGTGGGGAGGGGAAAAGAAAAGGCGCAGATCGACCTCGGACTGTTTGTTATTGCGGAGAGAGACGCGGCCGCTGCGATTCTTACGTAATTCTGAAAGGCTGCCGCTGCCGCCGCGTCACGCAGCTCACGTCGATGTCAGAGGTGTAAATCATGTGGATGGACCCGGCTCCTGTGTTTAGACCTGTCCGGCTGCTGTGAGTCTGTGTCTGCGTGGTCCACGTGTGTAGCACAGGGAGGACCGGTGCTCACTGTACTGAGAGAAATATGAACTTCTAACAGGCCTGAAAGTAAAGAGAAGGTATACACACACACACATATATATATATATATATATATATATATATATATATATATATATATATATCTGAATGATCTCCCTTTCTAGTAAATTACATTCAAACAATACAATTACACTTGTGTTGCTTTTTGCTCTTTAATGGATAGTTCTGTTCTGCTTGTTTAATTTTCCCTTTGATCACCATGACATGAAAGGTCTGTTATTTTGTTTTTTTTTATCTTTTACAGAAAAAGGAAACAGTCGTCTGATGGCACGTCTACATCCACAGTCTGCATCTGGTCAGTCGGACTAATTACGGAATGGATGTCATATTAATGAAAGTCTCAAATAGAAAAACCGGAGCCCACTTAATACTGAGTGTCAGCATCGAGCCTAGACAACATTTGATTGTTCTTGATTTTGTGGAGATTTAAGACGACTGGTCAAACGTTTGGCCACAGGTGCAAACAACAGGACTTCTGTAGCAACAGTCCAGACAATACTCGATTCCACAATATCTGCACAGAACCAGAGGTTTTCTGGAGCACGTCTTCCCGCAGACACACGCTCCCAGCGGAGTCCAAACCTTGTTGTTTGAGCTTCATTTCCGATGGGTTCATATCAGATAAGTCTAATGTTGCCAATAAAATAATGACTCTGGAAGAATGTGTCCTGACGAGGCTGCAGCACCCTCCACTCTCAAGGGGCTGTAACTGCAAGGAGAAAAACATTTACCAAAAACAAACCCTTTATTTTCCAGATTAACATTGATCTTACCTCAGACTGTGTTCACACCACAGACTGTATATAAAGAGGTTCACACACTCACTCACAATCTGAACTGACATGAATAAAAAAACTCAAAAATAAAACCCCTGTCTGCACAACATGCACCCAGACAACTAAAGAATGCACAATACAGTAAACTGTGGAGTGAGACATGGCTTCAGTATCAGTGGAAATGAATTGGTCCCTAAATGACCACAGGCCAGTTCAGTAGGTCCCAAACTCTCAGACAAGGGAAATAAAGTCAGTGTCTTTGCAGATGATCTTGTTTTGCTGTTAAAGTTGAAAACAGCTGAACATTTGACAGATTTAGTAAAACTTGAGCAGATTTATAGGAGGAAAGATCCAGATCCCAGGAAAATACATTAAAATATTGGATCTATGAACCAGCACTGCACCATACACACATTTAACAGCCACATCTACACGGTGGACAGATTATCTGATAATGACTATGATAAAATAATATGTTTTCCAGTGTCATGTGACAGATTTCCTTGACCTCACCATCATAAGCAGTGATTCATGCAGTTAGTCAGTGCTTTAATGCAGTCAAGTGTTAGCGGTTGTGAAGCGTCTTGCTAGCGCCTCTTGTAGTTGCTGTGGCTCAGTCCCATGACGCTGAAGGTACAGCTGGTAATCTTCTCGTACAGAAGGAACATGAGGGCAGCGGTCAGCACCGTCTGCAGCAGCTTTGCCTCCAGGCCTTTAAACAGACCCAACGTTCCGTACTTCCTGCAGCAGAGAATCAGTGTCACAGCACATTGTCAGAAGGCCGTGAGGGCAAGTTCTCCGCCATGTGTTTTCTAGAACTGAGCTACTCTCAAATAATGTCGACAAAAATAGGTTAGTTAGTGCAATGTGAAGCCTGATTTGAGAGACACACCCAGCTCATTAATAGTTTAGTTTGTTCAATCTCAGCCAGATTATCTGAAACCAAACAGTTCTTGTCTGAATATGTGAAAAGCAGGTTTGAGACATTTAACCAAGTGCTTTTCTACATCTGATATTAAATTCCTTGCTTTGGAACAGCTAGGTGTGTTCAACATTGCATAATGAACAGTATACAGGTCAAATAAGGAGAGGTAATTGACATGAGACTAAATAAAATGTACAAACATAAATATGTAATCTGCATGTGTGTGTTTGTTTGTGATTGTGTGTGTACCAACCTGACTCTATTGACCAGGAGACACTTGATAGACCTGAGACTGGACAGGATTTTTGACTCGTCTGTTGACTGGTATTGTCCAAACTGTGGTAAATGGAGAAAATATGAAAAACTGTAAAGCTAAAAATCTGTATATAAAAATGGACAAAGCATCTCCACATCCTCCTGCTATCCAAAACATGAAGCCAAAATATCTCTGGACATGATCACTGCCATCTTGTGTATTTGGAGCCAGGAACATTTGGATGGAGCCGATACACAGGCTTGACTAATCGTAAGTCATCCTCGGCCGTCACTCATCATTTCGCCCTATTTTCATATAATCAGATAAGTAAAAACAAACTTCCAAAAATAAACACTTGACCAAACATCAGTGTGATAGGAACTACGTGAAATAACAAAGTTCGGGATCATTCATGTCGTCCATCTTTATAAACAGTCTGTAACATGCACACAGACGCACACATATAACACACAAAGAACCTACCCTGAGGATGGACTGTATAGTCTGCAGTGGGTATGTAACAGTGGTGGCCACAGCTTTGGCCACAGCGCCAATGATGAAGACTTCAATGGACGACAGCTTGGGATGGAAAAAGAAAACTCGTTACATTCTGAAAGAGAACAGAGCTCAGACCACCTGGGAAAACGACAAAGAAACAGTCCCTGCTCCTTCACTGCTTTCATCAGATTGTCCTCACCTAATGTATTTATCATCAAATGCGGCTGTAGCCAATGAAAATGTCAAAATGTAAACGACTCGTTACATTTGCGTCTACGTTCCCTCTCACCTGTTTAATCCAAACAGAAAGTCATGTGAGAATCACCATGTCGACGCATATCGAGCGTCTACTCATCCAGATAATAGGATGACCTGGAGTAACCTTTCTCTACTTTTCTAGAGGTGTATATGTGCAGTTTTACAAACATCTCTTAAATATTAACTGTATTATTATTATTATTATAGGTTGACATGTTTAGTGAGTCCATCAGCTGAAGAAACAGTGGATGAGAGTCCGAAAATGCCCAAATTTGCTTCACTTGAGGTGAAGTAATCTGATTCCACTCCTAAACGAAGTTGATGATGAATATGAGAATATCTGTATGTATTAAACATATTTAGGACTTAACATATATCATTCATATTTTATGTTGATATTTACAGTACATTTATGTTAAATTCACTCTCGTTACTGTGCAGTTATCTTTGCAGATTCATGTTACAAACATTTAGTATCACTCCCAAAATATTTATTTTCAGTATTTGTGCACTTAAGTTAAATCATCTATAGGTATGTGATGAGGTATAAAAGCATTAAACTGTAATTTTTCAGTTCATATTTCCTCCTCCTCCCTGCATCTGGACTTTCTTGGCCACCATTTCTTCTTCCAGCCCACTTCTCTGATTCCAACACACTTCTCTTTCCTTCAGATGCCTCAGTCCTCCTACCCCTCTCTATGTTTCTGTCCGTTTCTCTCTCACCTCCCTGGGAGCTCCTCTCTTCAGATGCCTCTTCAGCCCCTCATAAATCATGAACTGGATGGCAGGGTTCAGCACCAGCAGCAGGGATGGGAAGGTCCCGTTCCACAAAGCTCCTACGCCCTCCTGGCGGACAATCTGCACAAACGCATCTGCAACAGCAAAAAAACAAACAGTAGGAAATAATGAAAGGACAAGATGTAAAACTAGGTCATCATCATGTGTTTGGTGAATAAATGCAAATGAATTCTAAGAACATATAGACAATGTCCATTTACCCAAAATGCCGGAGTAGTTGGTGGTCCGGATGTCTGCATTGCGAAACTTGGAACCCTGAAGCTTCAGTCTGGTGTTGACCACCCACAGGGGTGTGGTGACGAGAACATTTATAATACCTGAAACACCAGAAACAAAGCAAACATTTGTAAATCTGGTAATATTGAGTAAACACAGAATGCAATGTGGGTGACACAATTAAGAAGGCTAGCCCTTATCTCTTGACACCATCACATTTGCAAGATAGATTATTAGGATTTCATCTGATGTCCTGAGTTAATAAAAATATTTTTGAACCTCTGCTGAGGAGGTTATGGTTTCATTGCTGTCTTGAAACTTGATGGAAGGCGGATCCAGGAATTTCTTTTTCGCTTTGTTTAATGTTGCATGTTTTTCCTGTTTAATTCACCTGTTCATAATATCTATGAACAGGTGAATTAAAGTGGCCAAACAGCCCTGGCGGAGGTATGTGCTCTCCGATTGCCCTTCTAGTTGTACCTGTAAGGACCTTCTCACCTGCAGTGATGCCTATGATTAAGTCAGTACTGGGGGCTGACTGTTTTCCCCTCAGCCAGCTCGCCTTCAGGGTATGGAAGCAGTAGAAGTAGACAAAGTTGGAGCAGCACAGGCTGCAGATGACAGGGAACCAGCCTCTGTACGGAGCCAGACTGGAAAACACAAGAACACATCTCAGACTCCGTCTTAAACTCCCTTTAGGATGTGTTTTCTGGTATTGTGCAAAATGATTTCAAAAGAAGTCACGCTACCAAACCACTATAGGCCTGAAAGGGGTTTTAAAAGACAGCGTGACCAAACGTTACCATAAGGTTCAACAAGCTGTTATTTGTTGGACATGAAAATGTTCAACCTTTGTGTCGGCATTTGTAGTATTTAAAAAAGTGATGTACACAGAGTGTAAACAAAGGCTGTGTTTTACATTTAGTGAAAAATGTGATTATTCCCACTCACAGTCCTTCTTCTTTGACAATTTCTGCCAAAATGGCTGGAGTTGATCTGGCCTTTCTGTTTTCATCCACTGAACACAAACCAAAAACAAGTTGTTTTGAGAAAAAGCATTAGCCAGATTATTTTAATTACTGTAAAAAAAAAGAGACGGAGTTGAAGATACAATACAATAATCCTTTATGGGGTAATTTGCCACAATAACACTAAAGATAATACAAAATAATACAACGTGAACCAAATATAAATAGTGTAACATGGCACAGATAGAAAATGGGTATTTCTGTTATTGTGCTCACCTTGCAGCCGTAGTCTGGCAGTATCAAGAGGGAAGAATACTGTCATTGCAGTCACGCTTCCCTGGAACAGGTAACTGTCAGTTGTGCAACACTAATACTTGTACAAACACCAAATATAAACAATCTCATAATTGAAATCGGTTCGAGTCTCTATAGCAGAAGATATCGTGTTTTCTCATTTCACCATCTGGCACTGTTCAATTCGGCAGGTTAGGCAGATTAGAAGTCACAGCTGCTGATGCCGAACACAAGGCTGATGTGAACGCTTGTATTGCGACACAGCATCCGGCGCCGTCGTTTTCGAAATCATGAGAATTCGCTGTATTTTGAGTGGAGTTTGGTTTGGCAGATTAAAAAAAAACGGCACTGGCAGCTTAGATCGAACACAGAGAAAGTTGATGTGAACTCACCACAGCTCCAGACACAGCATGGACTAAACTCTCATAGGAGAAAACCCCAGCAGACATCTTCACCTAGTTTGGTTTGAATCCTTCAAAGTGTTTCCCTGACTCTTGTTTCTGTCTCACTCCTGCTCCGCTCACTTCCTAGTGTCTGACTGACTGGTTGGATTATGGGTAATGTAGTTCTCTTGGCATTCAAGAGAACTACATTAAAACTGAAAACAAACAGAGCACTGAAGAGGTGATCCCACATTTGAATTGATTAGATCTGACCAGCACAAAGTGAAAAATTAGGTTTTTAGAATAATAATTACAACAATAATGGAGCAGTAATTACTGAAAGAGAAAAGATAAACAGATGAATGGATATCTCCAACAATAACTTTACATGTGTTATATTTGATCTGCATGGTGCTGCCACTTTATTCTGTGTTGAGCAATACAGTAGGTAACAGTTGTACATTTGGCTTCATGTTCAATGCGTTACCATCAGTCGATTGCACAAACCCCTGATGTTACTTGGAAAAGTCAGATATGACATTGAGACGTCACAGATCCTGTTATTAAATGACAGGAAAGATAGACAAGTTTTTTTAATTTCTGGTCAGAGATAGTTTATTAAAATGTCAATGACAAAAAACTTTTTGCAGATTTTTGTTTATTACAGTTTTATTAATGCTCAGTTTGGAGAAATCTGTTTGTTTTCTTTATGTTAAACAGTGTTTTTAAAAGCTGTAAAACGATAAAACATGACAAAGACCAAGAGATGTGGTTGGAAACTGACACTTAAAAGCCCATTTAACATATAACAGCTTCTACTCTGATTTTCATATCAATGTCTGTGAATCAGAGGCTCCTACCTTTGGCACATTTAAATGATCCTGCTAAATAAATCAAGGAATAGGTTTATTGAAAACTATAAACTATAAACGTAAACTTGAGCAAGGCACTTGTTTGTCAACTAATGCAGAGGAGCTGATCCAATTGGAAACTACAGGTTATGGTAGCAGCTCTCAGTGGTTTGAATTGTTATCGGCAGTTTACAGGTTCACACAAGTCATTTTTCTGACCTACTGTTAATAACTGCTTTGTGAGGGAATTAAGGTCCTGGTCCACAACCACATATGCCATTACAAAGCAACACTGGTGGAGCATACATGTTCAACGTGGCTTTCATAAGTAAAAAGCAAAAATAAATTAAAATAAATAACAATACAAAAGACTCGTTATCAGTCTCCCGCCCATTCACTCAGCCAGTCATGACACTGCCTCCTCTGCTCCTCGCTCTCCTCCTTAGTCCTCTGTTCCTTGCGAAGTTTCTTTCTCCTCTCCTCCTCTTTTCTTGCATGCTCCTTCTTCTCCTCTTTAATCTTCCTGTCTTGCTCCATCCTGCTCTCCAGCAGGGCCTCTACAGTGGCCGTCAGTGTACGCAACGAGCGCTCCGGGAGCCACTTGGGATCCACCATGGGGAGAAAGGGGTCTCCCGCAGACACGAGCAGGGGCTGAGGTTCCAGGGGAATGTGGAGGAAGTGGGCGTGCAGCATCATGCGGTATGGGGCGTCGTCCGCTCCTGAGCTGTAGGTGAAGTCACCGACGATGGGGTGGCCAATTGCGCTGCAGTGGACCCTTAACTGGTGGGTTCGGCCTGAGGAACAAAGTAGTGTAGCGGAGCCAAACGGGGAAGAAGAGCATTTCATGAAGATGATATCTCAAGATGAATTGATAAATTACTGGTCCTAAATATGAATCTACTGGTTTAAAGAGAAAGATCATACACTGGTTATTTTTACCAATCACTCTCAGAGGGCAGACAACACAATATGCTGAATGAATCAGTGATGGGTTGGTCATCTTTCAGCTCCATTTGAATCTACATTCAATGTAATGTTCATCATTTCATCATTTATGTAAGTGAGTGCTGTTACCAGTGAGCGGCTGCAGGAGCACCTTGGTCACAGGATCTCCATCGTACGACCCATACTCCAACACTGTCAGCCCTGTTTGGCAAGGCTTGGGGTTTTCACAGCCTGACAAGAGAAGGATAGACTGAGCATGAGCAGGAAAACTGAAAAAATACATAAAAATATATAAATAGTCATGCTGTGCAGTTAGTCACTTGAAGCCTGAATTAGCCACTATTCTATGAATCATTTCCAAATCTTTCAAAATTGTCATGGGGAATAATAAACACAGACACACAGTGCTAACCAGTCCCAATGCATGTACCTTCTGTTCCCTCAATACACATCATATGTGTTTTTCCCTCTGAGGAGTTCTTGCCGATGGAGAAGTCCAGAGTTTGTGTCTGTTCTTCCACACGGCCCCGAATCTAAATAGTAAAAATGTGGAACTAATTCAAACTTAAAACAGAGACACATAAATGAGTAGATAAACTGTTTAAGTGGACAGATGCATGTGTTTCAGTCCTTCTCGTTCATACCAGGGCGAGGTAAGCTTTAGTGACAGTGCGGTCCTTGAAGCAGCGGTAGGCGCGGCCGGCCGCAGCTTTATTGAGGGCAACACAAAGAGCCCCGCTGGTGGAGAAATCCAACTGATGACAGAACCTGGAAGGAAAAGAAGAAAGATGATGAGACCATAATGCTCTATTAGTACAATGTCCGAGGGGTGATTGAGGCAGTAGTGTGACTCTGACCTGAATCCATAGTAGGTGCTTGGGTCTGCCAGCTGAGGGAAGCGGTGCCGAAGTTGAGCCTGCACTGTGTGTTTCTCGTACCACATCTTGCTGTCAATGCGGATGTCCCAGTGCTTGTCGACCACAATGAAGTCATCGCTCTGGTACAGCACTCTCAGGCTGTCCAGACTCGTTGGCTCTGTGGTCATCATGGGCACCGATGGACTGACACGACTCCTGCAGCCCTGTGGAGAGAATGTGGATGACCATGCAGCTATGTATTTAATCGAACTATAAACCTTCTCCTGTAAAAACTTAGATCATTACTGAATCCTGCAATAGCATTTTACCTCACATGAGAAGTATTAACCATAACTTTACTTGAAGTTTCAAAGTATTTATTAGTGTGAATAACCCATTACATTTTGTGCAGTCCGTACCAGTTTATTACTATTATTATAGATACTTAGACAGGATCAGGGTTTTTCGCAGGTTTCAATTTCATTAGTATATTTTATATTTACTGTTACTTGCAGAGTAAAGTACAATACTCCCATTTGACATGTAGTAGAGTAGAAGCACACATATGAAATACTGCAATATACAGAGAGAGTACCTCAAGCTTTCAGCACAACAAAGAGTAAATAGTATCTATGAATGAAGAGAACATTAGAGAATGACGAACACAACAAACCAGCCACATCCAGACAGGAGTGTTTACACTGGTTTAAACTGGTTAAATGTGTGGAACAGGTCTTAGCTGCTCTTGTGTCTGAGTTTGTTTTTTACTTGATAATAATAAAGAAGTGATTTCTGCTCCTCAGAGTGAAGCACAAACACATCAACCTGCTGCTAACTGTCTGGTTAGCCTGTTAGCTCCGCTGGTTTGCTAGCTGCTCTAAGCTAACAACGTCAGAAAACTATATATTCCGCTGGTTATGAATAATCTGGATAATTACCACGAAGTAAACAACACGCATATAACGCGTGGTATGTTTCTGACGTAGCGAAAGTTGGCTTGAGTTCACGTGCAAAGACGAATGTAAACAAACCCACGAGGAATCCAGCGGCTGCTCGCTCGGGCTTCTTCTTCTTCTTTGTTTTTTCATGGCGGAGGACAAACCAACGTGGAAGATGAACAGCGACACCTACCGTCTGTGTGACCGCACGACGTTTTGTGAGGCAGGTTTATTTGGTGAAAACTTCTGAACCACGAACAACTGATTTTTAAAAAAACATCAGTTTATAATGTTTTTTTTCAATGGTCAAGAAAAATCAATGAAAAATACTGAAATAAGATACAGCTCTTCATTAGAGTTGTTGTCTCTGTCACAACTGTGAGAAGCTTTAAGTTCCAGAACATTCGTGTTTTCGGATCACCTCATTTTATAATGAATTATTATTTTAATTTTAAAAAAATCAACAAAATATGTATTTTGACAGTAACGCCATGAATAATTGTAATCATCCAGCATACACCAGGATCTAATGGTCATTCCCCCTTGTGGTGTGTCACCTTTCAGATTGGTAAGATCTCGAGTGCAGGAACATAAAGACTCTGCAGAAAAACATCCACCAGTGTGCTCTGATCTGTTTGTGGGGAATAAACTGAACAGACCGTGTTGCCCTGCGGCCACATAATAACAAACATGAAAACATACTGTATTTGCAAACTAATTATGGCTATTTGGATTTTCACATGATAGCCCTTTATCACCAGTATGTGCTATTTCTTTACAATCTTGTGATTTGTCAACATCTGCATGTTCAGAGGAATCCTCTCAAATCACTCCTTTACAAATAATAATCATGTTCCATGCTGTGGATCTGAATTTTCTCTTAACATTTCTCCATGTCATGCTAGATTATTATCAAAGTGCTGATTGTGTGGAACATACTGTGCTGAAACACACAGGTTGAATAAAGAGCAGAGTCCTCAAGTAATCCCTGAACGCAGCCAGGTATCAATGTGTTTTCAGCTAAGAAGATTAAGAAGTATTATATAATTGACATTTCATAAACCAATCTGCCTCTCCTTGTGTATGTGTTTGTGTGTGTGTGTGTCCAAGGTTATTGTTGTGTAATATTTCAGAGCAAATCATCTCTAAAGAGTCGAATGGCAGATTAGCATGTTTACCACACACATGCACGTGGCACTAAGCCGTTTTTCATCACAAACATTTCAGTCAGATGACAGAAGATCAAGAGGAGAGAGACGCAGCTGACAGATATTACAGATAGTTATGACGCTCACTCTCAATAACGAGTGTATATTGTACTTTTCTTCTAACGGGAAATATCATCAAATCTAAGTTTATGTGCGTTTGAGAGAAACAGAGGAAGATTTCTTGTGCTCTCTGAATGAAAACCTACCTGGATGATGCATTACAGTGGATTTAATTTTGTCCAGGCTGACTCCCTCTTTTTTTGCTCTCTGGATCTTTCCAGGAATTGAAACTCTTGGAGTGGGTCTGGACCGAGACGACCAGAGCACCAGACTGCTTTGGTGTGTTTTCTTCATCTGGATGCAGTGTTTCACAGCAGAGTGAAATAGAAGAAGAACACCTTAACTGATTTAAATTGATGATACTGATTATTCAGGCCTTGCTCCTTGCATGCATTTCTGTGTTTGGTCAATTGCTTAGATTTACAGTTCTCTTGCACTTCACAACGGCATCAGTGCTGTGACCTTTCTGTGCAGCATGCAGAACAAGTCGTTTCTGCAGGCTCGTTGTGAGGAGCCCATCATGACATCAGACTGGGGCCTGCCTCTGCTGCTGGCTCTGCTGGTGCTGGCTCTGCTTTACACCTTCCTCTATCTGCCGGCCACAGCCCAGAGGGCCCTGCTGGAGCAGGCGCTCAGCAGCAACAACACCACCGCCGCAGTACCCACAGCCTCCGAGGCGGACTGACCCACACGTGAGGACAGATGAAAGATGCTGTCGGTCGACGGACAAGCAGACATGGGACTGTGACACAGTCCTGGAGCAGGTGATATGGAACAACCTGCTCTCAAGTGTGAGTTTTCTCCACCAGTGGCAGAAAATGGTCAAGAAACAGATTGTTTGGGACAGCGACTGTGCTTACATGCAAATATACCCTGATATTAACCTGATTCATAGTCTGAATAAGGGAATCAGATGCTGTTTATGGCAACAATAAACAGCATCTGATTCCCTTCACCTGAATCATATAATCGGAATAAGCAACAATCAAATGAAAAAATGTGGAGAATTCTGACCTTAGTCTCATCATGTAGACATTAAGACATCTTAATCACATTATAACATCCTATTGAAGTTTTCACAGCATTTTGACATTGCCATGTACAGCAGTTACTTCTTGTTAATAATGTCAGAATAAGGTCAATATTCCGATTATTCGTGTCTATGTAAATGTGGTCAATAACAACCCTGGCAGAGAAGATAATAAGCATTAGTATGTTCAAAGTATCGGGGGCTGTTTTAACATCATGTCAACAATGTAACAAAACAGACAATAAAAAGATAGATTCCTCTGACTTGTTTTCTGTCCTGTGAGTTCTTCTTTTCTTAATCCTCTTTGTCCATTGAGGAGCATGAGGCATCGATGATCTGCCTCCATCTATAGGCCTGTCCTGGGCTACGTGTGCGGCTTCTCCCCATGTCAGACCCTCTCTTTGAGCTCAGTTTGCCACCATATTGTTTTGGGCCGACCTTTTTTGCGGTTTGGTGTCCATCTTGGGGCGATGATTGGTCTGATATCTGATTTCTAGCATCACACTCTGGCTCTTAGTCGTCATGCAAAGTTCTTTTTAGGCCAGAATGTGGCATATTTTCCTGAGGCATCCATTGTGGAAGAAGTTGAATCTTCGTCATGTCACTTTTCACTATGTGCCAGCATTCTGTGTTACCTACACACTGGGAATTCACAGATATTTTTAGTTGTCATGTCGATGATTGGAACACGGACATTTCCAGAGGACAAATATGTGAAGAAGACACATCACTGGTTGTTTGAATTGCCTTTATTAAAAGATACAGGATGCTCCATTTGACACCAATATTTGACGGGGGGCCACGAGACACAGACTGCTGCTGCTATCTGTGCCTTTAAAATGTCCCATGTAAATACTGAATCTTCAGTATCTGGCAACAAGGGAGCTCTGGATATCGCATCAGCATCTTCTTTTCTTTTTAAATCACATTAAATTTTTACAATTAAGTTGTAAAAAAAAGGAAGAGAGAATCCGGTTACACCATGCAACACCCAACAAGCCAACATTTACAGTTAGTTTCAGATCACAACAGTTTCAAATGGTAGTTCGATGATCAATATGTTCAGCAACAATGATAATATCATATCCAAAGACTTGACACAATAATGATATTTCTTATATTTTAAAGGGGGAATCAGTTCATCCCTTCTCTGTCAGTACGTCACTGTTCTCCAGCTACCATCTTCAAAATGTTTCATTGAAATGTTCAGAGCATATTTTTATTCACATCTTGTGTCCTCGGAACAGGAGAGCGGTTTAGAAATGGCTAAGTTTGTTTATTTTCACTGTGTGAATAGTATCAAATCCTAAAGGACATACATGCATCTCTTTCTACAATATACACAGTTCAGGTTCACTCTTTCCTTGTTCTGCTCTTTCAAAAAGCTCCACAAAGAAAACTGCTGCTTTAAAAGCAAACACAACTCCTAAAAAAGTTTAATCAAATAATGTAAGTGAAGTGAATTCATTTTCTTTTTCATACCAGTGTATGAATGGTTTGGAAAGAAACGTTCTGATCATTTCGTGGGTCATTTTATCAAAGGACTCTAAAATATTCCTTCATATGTTGTATCAAAACTGCAGTTGATGATTTATACTGATGTAAAATACGTGTGTTTGTTGACTGCAATAAAAAGTGAGAATCAGGAAGTTAGAAGTTATTATATTAAATAAGATAAAAGATGACATAACATGGCTGAACCTCTTCCCGTAATCGATGAACAAACTGATCTATAAAAAAAACCTATGAAATCAAACATATGTAGTAACTAAATAAATGCATGAAGAAACACTTACAGTTACATTTCTGACGTCTTTTTTCAAAGTCTTGACACCATATGACAAAACTGAATTGGCCGTTTTGGAACTACAACAATTTGAAGAGGAATATTGAAATTTATTTGTAGTCTATATTGGAGTTTATGATATCCCCGTCTGACTGACTCAAAGAAAGATCCTAATTAGACCTTAAAGAAACATTCTGACCTCAGATCAGGTTCATCCACAGCCTCAAGACGACAAAAGTCCTGACTACACCTCATTTTAGGTGCTCAGCTGGGCGTTAATACATTTACTATGGAAACAACGTGAAAATAACAATTACATCAGTTTAAAACTATAGTGACACTTGCGTCAGGCTTGGGTGTAAGATATTGGACCCTTCAACTGAAACAAGTCATTCCAGGACTTAATCCCGAGTTTATTGTTCTTCCCTTTCTGCCTTTACTGATTTTCTTTAATCACCTGCTGCTGTATGAACGTATGGAAACATGCAGGGGCGTTTAAAGGGACTTGAGGGCCCCATCAGAAGTGACCTGCGGGGGCCCTACATAAAACCAAAATGGACCCTCTCGTCAAGAAGCACATGACACATGATACAGTTTTAGTCTCCATCCAAACCTCTGATATTACGAAGCTTTTGGCAGAAAGATAGTGGCAGGAGGCCTCGTGGGGGGGGTTCTGACCACAGTTTCGTGGCAGTCCACTGTACGTACTCGTTATTGTATTTAAGGGGTTTTTTGGGGTCCCCCTCTCAGCTCGGGCCCCTGGACATATAACAGGATGAGGAGGGAGGAGACTGAAAGTTAAACTGAAGGGAGACTCCTTCATGTGGATAACTTAGGATGGATGGGTTGAAATGCAGATACAACGCAGGGTTAATGGGGAGAGGAAGTGAGGATTCTCTCCTCGAAATGTCCCAGTTGCTCACAGGTTTCATGAGACCTGCATCAAACAGACAAGGAAGAAAAATTAGAAGAGGAGAACAGGGAGGAGAAGGAGGAAGAGGAGGGGGAGGGGGAGGCAGAGGTAGAGCCTCCTGTTTTGGGCGGTGTAAAGAAGAGAGGGAGGTGAAGAATAGGAGTGAGAGAAGGGAAGAGAGCAGCATCCTCCTTCTCGCTCTCTCTCCCTTTCCTTCTCTCTCTCCTCTCTATTCGTTCCAGTCCTTTAGGATGTTGAGGTTCCACTCCCAGGACAAGAAGACGTTCTTGTCGTCGTCGATGAAGTGGGACTTGATCTGATACTGGCCACGTGACATCAGGCCTTTGGGGGCTTCATCAGCCGGGCTTAGATACTCGTACTCCCCCGGCTTTGGGCCGTAACTTCCCACCATGTACGACACCTTGTCCACTGCAGGTAGATACAAAAATGTAATTCTTAGAGGTCTGTCGAATAGAAGCCCACATTTCAGAAAATAACTTCAACTTCACTCACAATATTTTTAGGTATAAATTAAGATATTTAAGTTTTTAAAACATAACTTTGTACAATGATTGATGTTCATTTGTCGCCTTGTCAGTGTTGGGATCATTTTGTGTTTTGGTCTTTCATCTTTATGAATTTACCTTTGATTCCTTTTCTGGAGGTCACATGATGGTACCTCAAGCCAGCAACTATTTCTCGGTTCACCTGTAGACAGACACACAGTTTCATTAAGTCTATGCTAAGAGTCTCATGAGCTCAGGAAGGTTTGTGTGTTTGTCAGTGGGAGGAAAGTGGAACATGAAGGGTAAACACGCTTCATGTGGAATGAGAGATCAAGTCAGTTTGTTACGAACATCACTACGCATGATAATATACACACACAGCACATTTCTTTATTTGTGGATAAAATGTAAATGTGTGTGTATGATTTTATAAAATTCCTTAAATAATCATGAAGTGTATCAATTGTCTATGAAACACAATGGTTAGGCAGTGAAGGTGTTTGTCCAGCAGGAGTCCTCAGAGCACAGCACAGTCACTCTCTCAGCTGTTTGTTTATTCTCTGCACATCTAACTTCAACCTTCAGGACCAGGACTCGTGAAAATGAGACAGGAAAAGTCAGGAGATAACCAGAGTTACTCCTCTGACTCAGTAATGTAATGAATTCATAATTTTAGAGAAAATAATGAATCGTCAAACATGAGAAACTGACTTACTGAAATTAAACGACATATTGCTTGATGAGCACTAACCTTTACTGGCACTCTACAATGGAACAGCACTGAAAAGGCTCATTAAATATGATAATGGTCCTGTTTGATATTGTGGTTTGATCGAACAGCACACAGAGGCTTACTCATCATGGTCTCTCTTTGTTTATACACTTTAATCCACGTTTTAATGCACATCCTTGATATAGCTCTGTGACCTCATCCATCCATCTCACCTTAAAGTGAATCTTTAGTCTGTACTTCGCTCCTTCCTGAACAGAGAAGCTCTTCTCCTTCAGAGAGTTCAGGTCTCCTGCAAACACACACAAGCACAACAGTGAAACATCATACATGGACAACATGACACTGATGACATCACCTTTTACATTATCGCCGCAGACATGTGCTGGAAAATTACTCATCATACGACACTGCAACTATATTCCAATAAGATAAGAGCACCAATAAAAACAGAGATTGCTTCCGGAGGAACTGATGAATATTCATCTTCAAATATTTTGAGTCTTTGAAAAGGTGAGTTTCTATTTTTATTTGATATTTTCAGCAGTTTGAAATAATTGCTCTTGTTTTTCTCCAAACCTTCAACCTCATCAAATTTAGATACGATAACAACCTTCAAATAAATATAAGATAACAAGCAGCATCAGACACAATTTTAAAAAGATATAAAACAGAATAGATGAAAAAAAAGATAATGAATGCCAGAAATAAACAAACAAAAATAAAAACTAGAATCTGCCAGCCTCAGCAGTTTCAATTTACATACACATTTTTTCCAGAATCTTAATGTGAAATTTTTGACTTTGATCCATTCACAACAAAGTAAGGTCACAGATACCTTTGACCTTTGACTGCTGAAATCTATTCAGTTCATCTTTGAGTAAAACATTTTACGTAAAAATAAAAGGCTGACATGAGATATCATGTTTAAGTGTGACCATGATCTTTGATCTTTGACCTCCAAACTCTAATCAGGTGATCTGTGAGTCCAAGTCAACGTTTGTACCAAATTTGAAGAAATTCCCTGGGAGCGTTGAGGTATACTTTGAGTTATCGTGTTTACTGGGGCGGACAGATATTTTGTCACCAGTGAGGAGGCATTAAAAATGTACACACGCAAAGTGGAATTTGCCCCTGGAGAGAAATTACGATTCACGTGACAAATCTGATAAGAATGTGCAAACACGTGCTACAGTGTCAGTTCAGTTAAATTTAATGCAGCAGCAGCTGTACTGCGAAACAAAAAATACACTTGAACCTGGGGATGAGAAGCATTTTCCTCCTGCTTTCAGTTCTGTAAGATGAACGGTCAACTTGAAGGTCTGATCCTTTCTGTCATAATACTGGTGATTTAGTGTTACTGCTAAAACCAGCTCTGCAAAGTAACACTGCTGCTGCCGTGCTGTGGGGTTGAATGGGTTCATACTGAGGGGAAGAAGCATCCCGAGCCATTGTAAAAAAATAAAACCCAACACACACCAATCAGAAATGCATCCACCACCTAATCGCATTATATCTCAATTTAAACTCAACCATCCGTCCTGAGTGCTTCCTAATGGACATGGAGAGAGAGGACAGACGAGATGAGGACAAGATAGAGGGTTGGACACATACAGACATCAGTGGAGGGGATGAGGAAGGAGACAGGAAGAGAAAGGAAGTGACCTACAGATAATATTCACAAACACACACACTGAGTGAGTGAATGAGTGCAGTACTCAGTTTGGTGTCACAGGTTTGATTCCCACTGGTGTAACCCATATTAAAAAAGAAACATAAATATTCTTTATATGGGATATGGCACGAAAAGCCTCCAACAAAGCATAAAGGCTCCATCACTTCTACTGTATACAACTGTCCTAATGTTCCGAACTGAAAATAAAATATATTTCCCTTGTGATTTGACGTATATGTCATGCAGCTAATGAAGCTGTTCCTCCACAGTTGACTTTAGGAGATTTTATTTCACTGCTCTGTATCTCTGTCTTATTTCTGTCAATCCATCTGCCTCCACAGATCCTCACCTCTCCCCCCTCTGATTCCCCTCCTCCCTCCTCCTCTCCTGAGACGAGACAGAGAGGAGAGGAAAAGATGCCGGCCTCCTCCTGGGAGCATCTGACTGAGAAAAATAGGTCAGTGTGGAGAGCTGTCTACCTATTCTCCTCTCACACAC